GACTACACCTATGAACAATAAAATCCTGATCCTGTGTTATTCATTCCTTTTAGCAGGATAGATGCTTAGGGGGAAGCAGACCTGTACAGAAAATGAAGACAAGTGAGTAAAGAAAAGTCTACCACTGGGAATCCCAGTCCCAAGGATTTTTCTTAAGGAAATAGGATTTAATGAAGGCTGCTCATACCACTGATTCTTGAGGAATGGATGGCTGACAGAGGAAAGGTATACCACGCCAGAGCAGCAGCAGCCATATTAAAATTTTATATACATATTGCAGGGTTGTAGGTCAATGTCTTCCTCAAAAATCTTGAGATAATTTAGTAAGTCCAGCTATAAAGAAAAGAATTAAATTCTTCCTGAGCAGGCCAGAAAATTTGCAAGGCTTAAAATACTGCCATTTTACTCCTTATTTACTCATTGTCAAATTAATGCACTGAATGCCCAAAACACAACATGATTAATTAGGAAGAGTTCAGTTACAGTAAAGGTTATCACATTTCCTTAATGCTTTCTTTTCCAAAAGCAGTTTAGGTTTGCTATTTTTAAGATCATTATAATCAAGGTCAGACCAGGTGATGAAATTTCATGCTAAGAGTTTCAAGCTATCTTCTGAATTGTGGGTTTTTTCCCCCTGTCAAATATTACTCGAGTATACATTTTCTGATTTAATAGAATTTCTTTTCAAAACTCTGGAACTGAATTTCCAGAGCATCTTTATAACTAATGAGAAAACAGAATATCAGATATAGATATAGACTATTACAAGAATGCACATAACACATCATCCTAACACATCTTCACCAGTTATTAAAACTTGCAAGTTTCAAACATCTGGTGATATGCTGAATGTCACAGCTGTTGAAAACTCTAGTGTTTTAAAGCCTGAGTCATGAAAGCTTGATATCTGTTTCTAAAAAGACATTTCAGTGAACCAGGGTCTTTAAAAGGTGTTACTGGTCTTGCTTTGGATACTCTGAAGCATTTCCAGGATATATACCCAAATTCTTGGCCTGAACTATTTTTGATGAAGACAGAGTCAGTAATCTCTCCTCTTATAGCATCTAAATTAGGTTACTATAAATCATGGATTTATGACAAATGAGATAAACATTCCCAAAATACCCTTTGGCAAAGTGCTTTTGGACTGCAATTTTGCCAGATTTTTATTTGTCTGTAAAATTGTCAGTCTGAAATGTACAGAGGCATCATTTAGGTTCTGTCATACTGCACAAAAATACTTTGGTGTGTAGCTCTTCCTATTTGTATAGGTTATGCATGTCAGCGAGTCTTGACTTCTTTTTATTTGGACTTATGAACTGCAATGCAGGCAACTCTTAAAAATCTGTGGGTTTTAAAAAGTACAGTGTTTCTGGAGCAAAATTCTGGTTACAGAATTCTGTAATCCCCCTTCAAACTATATCTGCCTAAATTTAAAGACTTTTTTACAGGTTAAGATTACTAGCTTGGATTTATTTCTACACAAAGTATTTATCTGATTCCACAATACATGAAAAAACAAAACTGAAGAGCTACAGTTTGCTTCTGGAGTTGAATTTAACATGTCCTACTACTTTACTGCAAGGACACCACAACTCCCAGTGGAGCCATGCTACTGGTAAAAACTGTCTAATAAGGAGAATGCCCAAATTGACTTGGACTGCAAAACCCAATATTAAAAACTGTTCTCACTTCTACATGCTGAAGCTTGCAAGATTTTAAGCCAAATATAAATTATTTCAGACAAACACAAAGCAAATTATTAAAAATGAACTTCATTTTTATTTTTATAAGGCAAAGCAGAAAAGAGCAAGTGATGTTAATCTGAGGAACAATTTCATAGTGTGTCAGAAAGTATGATTTCTGTTAGAAATGCATGAATTATGCCATGCAGTGCTTACAAATTAACAAAAAAAGTATTATAAAAGTGAAGCCCCGCTGTGTCAAATATGCCACACAATTTTTGTTCTAATAACAGCAATTTAGGTTAGGGTGTGACTCTTCTCTGATATAGCTGTGCTAGTACAACCCCTAGTGTGGACACAGTTTACTGCCATGAAGGCATTATATTCATATAATCTAGAAAGCTTATTCCTAAGCAGTAAAAGTATTAAGTAATGCACTGTTATTTCAGCACAGCTACATCCACAATGGGAGGGTTGGCTGAGATAGAAAAAGAGAGGGCAGTAGGTTATGCTACTTTACAACATAACGGGCCAGATGAACAGATGTGGGTTTTGTGTAGAGAAAGTGTGTAGTACATGTCTTCCCCCCCAGTTCCTTCCATAATCCTGATGTTAGTCAGGATCATGATGGATGATATCACAAAACAGTTGTTCAATTTAAATGGTAACATTGCTCATTGCTTCTTAATTATTAAGGAATATTAATGTAAAATGCTAATAACAGAGATTTATAACATATTGGCAAGTGGGTGTTAGTCCTAACCAGACAATAAACACAGGGAAAAAGATACTAGGGTAAAAGGGAGTAAAATCAAAGATGTATACACTCTTCAAGTTTCCTAAATGATATAAGTTCAATTTTGAATAAGATTTATAAATACCAGCATATGATAAATACCAACCTGTATTTACTTGACATACAGATATATGTATCTGGTGATCCTAAACTGCACATGTGAGGCTTTCTGCCTATTCTGATACACCTGAATAATTTTAATGCTTTTTTAAAAGTGACTCCATGTAAACTAAAAAATATCTTCAAAATTGAAATTTATCCACAGCACAATTAAAAATGCATTATATGTCAAGAAACAGTAAACTCGCTCTCAATATGTTAAAAGGCAATCCAAAAAATGATCCTTTGTTTTTAAAAGAGAAAACCACATCATTTAATACAGAATAGCATGAAAATACTCCTACATTATTGTCTCTCTACTTTAAAAAAAATAAATATGTATTTATTATGAACAGATGGTGGCCAAGGAAGGTATCAGCTCTGTCTCCTAGCCAGAAGGTCAGGTCATGGCTGAGAGACCAAAGAACAATTATTATTTGCTATTCAGTGCCACATAAGATAAAAAGATAAAACATTTCAGGTTTTCTTTAAATACAAAGATAGATGCGATTGAACTGTTTTCATTTTTTTTAAACAAAATAATTTGCAATAACTTATTAACATTTGTTAAAATTTGATTTAAAAACCCCCAGCCAACAGGCAATAACAGAACAAGGCACTCTAACACTCTTCTTGGGTTGCTTTTAACGTGTTAAATAATCCTAGGACCTATACAGAACTTTTTGGGTTACTGGAGCCACAGCTAATAAACAGCTGCTAGATACTGAGTCTGAGAATTACAAAATTGTTTGTTTTCCTTTTTTTTTTTTGAGGAACGAACAATCATATTTGAACAATAGAATAATGTAATTACTGAGTATCTAATCTTTATCTAATTATCTAATAATTTTTGCTGATAGGAACTATCCCTCACATAATTTCACTTTATATCAAATTATAAATCACCACATTTCAGTGTATTCAGCTCCACACTGATTAAAATACCAGTATGTCATCACATGAGGTTAAAATATTTTATTAAATTTTGTAATTTGTTCAAAAGGCAATCCTCAAGCAAGCTGGAGAACAGGATTTAAAATCCAAGATACTTCTTCAAGTATCTTATTAAACACATCCTGTTTTATTTGTATGCCAAGATTATGCCAACTCTTTTATCTGTGATATCTGTCAAGACACAGACGACAAGCCTGTTTTTTGTTTTTCAGTGTCCTTAGGCCTAAAGGATGCAGGAGTGAAAAAAAAATCAAACCTTGAAAAAAAGAACACTTTAAGACCTCTCTTCTTCTGCGCTGTATCATTTTCTATACATGTTGAAGGGTTATTTCACCTAATAAGCTCCTCCTTTGGATTTTACATATATTTTCATTATAACTTGAATTAATATTGCTTCCTGACTAAGCTTGTGCTATTAAGTCAATAAACTTAGTCTCCTACATGCAGCTTTTGAGGAACTGGTAATTAAAAATTTGATTTTTGAAATACTTCATTTTATCCCTACATATATTCTTATACAGGGAATGATCTGTTCAGTTATTTAAAAGAAAAAGAATGGTTCAAAACGTGTTGGATAGGCTGCTCAAATTACAAAAGACATATTAAAAATATCATCCTCATGTGCATCTTATAAATCTGTGTATTCAGAACACTCTTATGTGCAAATCACAACTTAAGAAGGAATACTCAAAGTTTGAAGTCCTAGAGAAAAATGGATAGAACCTCAAGAAAAAGGGCACTTCAAAAGATGCAGATTACACCTGTTCAAGATGTTTGCCAAGTATGTTGCAGGTTACTCTAATAATCTTTCTTACTGAATGGGATGCTTTCTCACAGACTGCGTGTAAAGCATACACTGGTTTTTGTATTACTATAAATCCCAGTTTTAGATAAGCAACAGTTAATGCCAAGTGGATTTTTTTCTATTTTTTTTTTTTTCTAGAAGGCTACTTTAGTTTTGGTTTTGCTTTTTTAAACTTTTAAACTTTTTTTTTTAAAGCTTTTTAGAAAGTTGAATCCCAGCATTAGTAACATTGAATCTTTAAAGAAATTGGAAGATAAATGATTTTCATTTTTGGCATCATTAGGTTATACTTAGAGCCTTTAATGTTCTGTTAGGCTGCATGTATAGGTAATTATGTGTGGATTTATTTGTGAGAAAAGGTGTATAAACACATGTATACAGTACATAGAATTTAAGTAGCTGGCATGAATAATATGATAGAGTAATTCTATATGAAATCATGGAATGAGTGATGCGCAAAACTGAACATACCAGGGCTGAAAACAAGATTAAGATAACCAAGAGGTATTTATTTAGCAGTAAAAGCTGGCTTTTTGCCATTAATTTAAACCATTTAACAGTAATAAATGACCACTATCAGAAAAATGAATCATTCCAGCTTCTGAAAAAACCCTACTTAGGCAACTAATAACTGCAAAGTTATAGCAGTATTATCTCTTACCTGGTCCTTAATTTCAAGCTCCCTTATAGTTTTTGTTCTGTACTCTCTGAGCTCCTTTTCTGCCTCATCCTTCTTCATTTTGGTTTGATTCAACTGATAGCGCATTTCTCCACACACCTGTTAGATTACACAGACAACATGATCTGTTAGCTTGAAGAGTCCATAGACCAGGCTCTGCAATTAGATCTTTTGGTGCCCTCTACAGGTCATTGAAATGCAACATATTTTTAATTCACAGATATTTTAGGTCTACAAATGGTAAATGTCTTTACATAGAAAGGTGGATCTGAATTCTATATATAGTCATAAACTTTGACATACGCACTACCGTATAGATTCAAATATATTTGGATAGAGATTTTGCTAAGTATAAATGCTGATGTTATAAATATCTATCTCTACAGTTAAATGACAGCTGCTGGTTTTATATTCTTCTCTCATTCTCTGTAAAATCCCAAGAAAGTCTATGTCAACACTTTCAAAATTTAGAAGTAAAGCATCTATCATGCTCCTAATTAAAGGTGTATTTTAACTTGCTAATTTTACACTATTGAGAAAGAAATTGTTTAAATGTTAAGCCAAAAATTTTCAAAGTTTGATCAGAGCACTACAAACTTACTGCAAACTGAAGATTAATTCTTTTAAAAAAACAGTATAATTTAAATAGATACATGGTCCAGAAGAAATGGATCAAAGCAACATTTCAGGAAATCCCTTCTACACAGGACAATTATTCTCTGCTGTTGGAGTGTTTGTTATATTACCCCCTCAATCCTTTCCATCTGGCATCAAATTTAGAGGAAATGTGAACGGGTTAGGAGAAAGTGAAAGAAATAAAAAAAAAACTAAACAAAACCAGAAGATTACTAATCCCTTTCACATAACTTTACTGCTGTGCAGGGTTGTTATTCTTTCAATTTTCAATCTAAGCTGTCCCCTTTTTGTTCTTACCCTGTGCCATCACCTCCAATTTGTGCCTGTTCATTTCACCTTAATTAACCAACCAAATACATGCGCATTCCTTAGTGAGAATGCAAATGTGTTTACTCATAACTCCTCTTAGTCAACTTTCTTTCCAACTTACTTTCCTGCCTTGCTTATATTCTCTCAGCACTTGCTCCTTTAACGTACACCCTTTTAATTTGCTGCTACAATCCTCTGTGCTTCTCAAAAACATTCTCACGCATTCTACAATCTAAATTAATTTATGTTTTTCAGTCTTATACCTCTTCTCATTTTCACTTTCTTTTTTTTCCTCCTTAAAAAAAAGGTAGGGAAAATGTAAATATGGATACTGCAATGAAATCACTCTAGGAAAAAACTAAACCAACTGTCATAACTTTCAAGAAGTAGCATCACTTATAAATTCAAAGGACAACTTGTGAATTTAGCCATTTCAAGTAACCCAAAGGAGCAAATGCTCTGAAGAACGGCAAAGTTCTAAAGCATTTTTTAAACACTAAAATATTATATGCAAGTAAAAAAATCTTGAGATGCAACTGCATAGCTTGCAAACCCTGGATTTCTACCTCCTCCTTCCTTTGTCTGAAGGATGTAACAAAATGCAATATGTCACTTCCTCCAAGTGAAATTTAAAAAATATAGCAAGTCTCGCTTTCAGCTCTCCACACACTGTACAAAGGGAATAACACAGAAGAATCAGCAGATGGTGCTGTCCTAATAATGGATTTTTAGTCTCCTCAAGAATGAAGGAAATAGAGCCTCACTCCATATTTTCTTTTCCTGACTTCTGGTGCATGAAGAAAAACAATATTTTGGATAAAACTCAAAACTAAAATGTTAAACTAAAATGTTAAACTAAAACTAAATGTTATTTGCTGTTTTTAATAATGGCAAAATGAGTCTGGAAACAAGTAGTCAGATTCACAAGCAAAGATGTCACGTAGCCAGTGAAAATGTCAGGGTGATGCACACAGTTGTGTCAGCTCAGTGGTTGGGAGCTTCCTCTAGGATTTTCAAGATTTCTCAGTTTAGTACAGGGACAGAAATTAAGTTTTCCAATCTCTCAGGACAGTGCAATTAATAGACTATTGCAAGGTGACCACCTATGCATCTTTGTATTAACATGAACTGAAGCAGGGACTGGAACCACAGTATCACCTCCAGAGAGGTAACTTCAAATTGGAAGGGTACAAAACTGTTCTTTTCAGACTAATGAATATTTGTATCTACTGCCTCTTTCACCACTTCCTCACCCCTGTAAGTGGTGCTAGTGATTTGTGAACCCAGCCTGAGAGACCGAAAGTGTGTTTCAGAATTGGTAGATTAAACCATTCTGACATTTTTAATACACTCATTTGTCTTTCAGTTAAAATTAAAATAAAGTTTCTAGTAAGTTGGGATGACTTTTTGCTGCGAATTTTCTTCCATACTTTTGCCTCTTTCTATCAGCCACGGTGGCAGGGTAAGAGGGGAGCTGTTGAAAACCTCTCTTGAAATCTCTAGAGGCCCAGGGAATAAATTGCTCCTTAAATCCTTGCAGTTAACAACTGGAGAGGTAGGATGGGCCCTGAGATCACTGGTAAGGAAAATAGATATTTCAAGAGACTGTAACAAATATATTTTTTCTTTCTCATGTTATGATCCCCATTAAGGCTCTAATCGATTGAGAAATGTGCAAAAGAAAGTACCCAAGAGTGACAGACCTACACAAGATGTATGTCAAACTGTAATTGTTAACTAGATATGTCTTTGTAAGAGCTGTACTATCAATAGTACTCAATTAAGCAGTATACTACATAAAAAGTCTAAAGGAAAGAACTTGAAAAACAGTGATTTGCAACAGCTCCCTTTATTGTAGCCCTGCAAGTCCCACAGGTACCAATTAAGGACACTGTTGAAGTCTGTGCTGTCTCACTCAGACCAAACTCAGTTCTTTACTGAAACACTGGGATAGTGTTTTAAAAAGTGACCCTCATAGGCTGCAAAATAGAAAAGTTAGCTTCTGCATGACAAGGTGACTTGGAAATGGAAAAAGTTATTTTTTTAGTCCTGCAATTGGGATAGCTGTAGTGCCTCTGGGATGTTGAGATGAAGTCTACAGTTACCACACATTCCTTACCAAAACAGGGGAAAATGGACAAGGTAAAAATTCCCTTCTTTCAGGTCACAATGATAAGGAAAAACAATTTCAATGCTCCTTTATATATGTGCTTACCTTATTCATCTCCATTTCATGAGATGCAAGTTGGCACTGTGATTCTTCTAACTGGTTAACTAGAGAATTCTTTTCCCTTGTAATTCTCTCTATTTGAGCCTCCAAAACAGCCACATCCTTAGACAAAGCTGTCACCTGAAAATGTCCAAGAACACTGTAATGATGCAATTTGACCAACCACAGATCAAATTCTGGTGGAACTTTCTCCTCAAAATGTAGACAAAATACATAACATTAAAAATGTAATAAAAAAATCAATCACGTACAATAAGTATATAGCCTATATTAATAATGATATAACAGAATATGGATACATTATTTTATTAATGGGTTCACTATTTTTAATTTATTCATCATGCAGTAGTTTATTTGAAACTTTTTATCGACTGCACTAGTCTCCAGGACTTGTTAATATAGACAAGGTGTCAGAAGCAGCTGGCTACCTTAGTTATGCATTAGTTATACTCTTAAATGTAAGAGTACTATTTAACACCTTATTATCCATCCTTGCGTATATTGATTCAAACCAAATCATGTTCCCCTAGCTAAAGAAATCTGTTGTTGCAAGCACAGATCTTAAATTAATTTTCAAGTTCAGAAAACATTTCAACACTATAGATCAAAGCATACTGTTGTGCAAAACTCATATAGAATTAGTATATTAAAAATTCTAATGTAATTCATATGAAATTTTGCTGGATGATTAAAAAATGTAACAATAAAACAGAGACAGTGAGCCTTCAGCTATTTAGCCCTGAAGCTTACTAATATAAGTGGAAATAATGGTGTCTGACAGTTCTAGGTTAACTTTCAGAAATTCAAAGCGAAACCTAGTGGATTATACATTCATAACTATTTTTCACTCCTTATACATCCACACAATTTATCTATCATGCCAATTCTCCCCTTCAAACAAACCATTTCATAAAGTAAGCAATAAAATATTGAGATGAATCTTGACTTGATCCACAGTATACCATTTCTACCACCTCATAAAAGTAGTTAATCATATGTAGGTGTAAATCATTAAGATAGATCATAATTTTCTACAAAGTCATCCCATCTCTTTAATTACCAGGCGTGATATCATCATAGTGTCACTATGTGTTGTTTAATGTACATGCAGGATTAAAAAAAAAAATACAACTACTTAAAAGTGGGAATTGGTTCTATTAAAACACATTTCAGTGGGGGATGAAATACAAACTAATGTGATGACATGGAGTGAAATATTCTACCAAAAAAAGTATGAAATGCTTGTCTAATAGGCTATATTTTAGAGTGAATATACTGCTTTAAATCAACTCCGTAACAAAACACCTTCATAAAAGGGATAACTTCTAATAGATAGGAAGGAGTCAAACAAGGAATTGCTTAATAATGTCTCCAGTGGAAGATAATTTTTTAAATTTCAGTTTCCTTGGCAACAGATCTCTGACAATCAGTTCACGTACTTAAAGATCAATTAGTCCCTATCGCTGTGCTTAATATCTGGTTTTGTATCTGGAATTGGAGTCAAAGAAGGTTTTTTTATACACACTTAAATGGTTTATTTTGTTCAGTTTGTGATCTCCAGATTTTTAGAAATAATACATACAACTTATAAAAGAGTCCCAAAAAAAAAAGAAAGTGTCTTCAATCAGGAGAGAAATTGACTCTGTTGTTTTCACACCTCCACCATAAATGGTTGAAGATGTTGCAGATCAAACAAGCATGAAAACCACTAATTCATGAAGTATTTGTCTCTCTGCATTTCTTCCCATTTCAATCGCCTTAGAAATGCCTCCTCTATCACAGGCTTACTGCTGTTAGCTTGAGCTTTTCTCTGTAGACTCCATTGGGCAGAAAACCCTCATGTTCTATACTCAAATTACTGCAGCATCTAGAAGCCTAAAAAAAGGTTATCAAGACTATCATGATGGTTGTGGCATAAACAATGAGACAGATTCTGTCTCAGAGAGTTTATAAACATTAGTAAAAGTGAGAAAAGAGATTCCAACACATTTCTGCAGGTGGGAAAATTAAACATATGATAAGATCACTTTGAAATTATGACATTGTAACATTAATGTATATATAAGATCAAAGTAGCAAAGAATCCTAAATTTGACATGTGCTAACTTCTGAATGCTTGCCATGGCAAACTAAATAATAATTTTTATAAAAAAGCTAGGTACAAACCTTTAATCACATATTACTTAACCCTTTCTTACTCTGACACAGTGCATTAAAAATATTATGAAGACTAAAATAAAGTGCATAACATCAACAACCTAGTATGCATCTAGCGACATAGCACAAAACCCAGTTATTCAAAATCAAAACATCACTTATCTACCGCTGCTTTAAAGAAATGGTAGAAGTGACTGAGCTCTCACACCCAAAACTAAAAAAAAAAGACAAGTAAATAAAGTTTGAGGAGGATGATACACTCAATTGTAATACACAGAGGAAGAACCAGCTCATACCATTGCTGCCAAGTCCTCCCTTTCCTTCTTCATTTCTCGCCGCAGTGCTTCTTTTTCATCAGCCCTCTTATTTAGCTGGGCAGCCAGCTCCTTTTCAAGATAATTCTTCTGTCGTTCCATCTCACTTTTCAGTTGCTCACAGTGGACTAGAGCCTAAAAAACCCCAATTTGCTTAAGTGAAAGAAACCTAAAATTTTTAAACAAACTTTTTTAAATTGGTATTTATCCAATGCCTTCAAATAAACCACTTTGCTATTAGAAATGTATTTTTTTAAATGCATTTTTTTTTTATGATGTTTATACATATCCTACTGTGTTAACATCTACAATAGGACTAACAAAATGAAAACAGATGTATGTGCTTGTAGGTTTGTATGTTTTACATGCCTTACTGTAACTGAGAAATTTAATTGCTTTTAGGAATCATGGCAAAGATGGGAGCATTTTTCTGTGCATATTTTCCAAACAAGTAGCTGTTCTTCTAAAACTATGACTATTTGCCTTACATTTAAAATTTGCAATTCCTGAATGCACATCACTACAATCAGCCTCCAGTATTTGATTCCTTGCAAATACTGCAAATTCCTTGCAATACAAAGTAGTTTCTGTCTAACTTAAGAACTGAAGGAAAAATTAATAAAATGTATGAACTTCCACTTAGTCTCCTCCTAAAGTGAATTACTGAGTGCAGAATGCTAAGAAAGTTGAAAGCAGTCAGTAAAAATAAAAAAAAAAAAAGTTTGAAAAATAAATTTCAGGTTTGTCAAAAATTAATTCTGCTAAATACCTCATAAAGTATTGCTTAATTTCAGGGTTATAGATGGGTTTTCTATCAAAAAGGGAGAAACCTAAGTTCAAGAACACTCTCAAAAAGTCTGAAAATGCTGGGGAAAAAAAGATATTTATCTATTTATGCTGCTTTATTTCTGCCAAGTGTAGAATTTGAGTGTTATGTCAGTTTAAATCAGAAACACACCACTCCATTACAAGTAAATCCATGTATTCAAAGCACCCTGAAGGGAGCTTTGCTAGCCTATGAGTAAACTCAACATTCCACTGATATCCAGCACATTCTGTTTCAAAAGAAGATAGAAAAACCTCCTAAAACCTCCCTTTAGGAATTCTAACTTATTACCCTTTATTTTCAAATTAATTTTTTTAAACTGCTTATTTTTCTTTCACTCAAAGCAAATCCCCCGAGTTCAGTTTTTTTTGGCTTTGGACTGTTCATGAGGGGAGCCATGTTTTTTAGAGAATGCTCTAACAGTCTCCATTAGTGTTATTGCAATTCTGTGGGACACTCTTCAGTGTTCCTCTCCTATCACAAGTCTACCGTGATGAGAGAATCCCTCTGTTATAGCATTGAATCCTTTTCTGTAGGAACAATCAACTTCAGCAAACAATTACCTGCATAAAACTGCTGTAGCTTGGTAGACATCTAAACCAATGCACTCTAGAAGAAAATAGTTGCATTAGTTGCATTTCAAGAAGAAATGTGTATTTTGTTAGCTCCATTGTTCTGACTACATAATGAGCAGTTCAAACAATTATTATTTTATGACATTTGTGTCAAAAATAAATTCCTGATTTTGCTTCAACTATGTAAACTTAAACATAACATATATCTCCTTCCTGCTCTGTGCAACAAGCTAGAGGCAAAAAACTACAGAGACAACCAAAAAACCAAAATTAAATGGTGGGTTTAAATGATAAGCACCTGAGGTTAGACTTTGGGACAACAGGCTGATGAAATTGCAATTTGAAAGCTTGATGTGTTAATTCTCACTTTTATTACCTGGACTGTTCTATGGGATTCCATGCTAGTTGTCAAGAAAAACAGCACTTTAAAGTAGAATAGGACTGGGGAAAAAAAAGGATGGTTTGTACTTACCAAGAGGTATACTGGTCCTTGTAAAAAGCCAAAATTAATGCAGTATAAGTAAAATTTTTTTTTCCTGTTCCTTCCTATTAAAATAGTTTTGGAGCATGAAAAAAGCCCAGACTACTATTCAGCCTTGCAGACAAACAGGTAGCACTTCACACAACCCTACAAGCACACACTCTTCTCTTACAGCACTGGATAAATAACACAAATTTTATCAATAGAACAATTATATCAATCTTGTTTGCATTCAATTACAAAAACCAAATCAAAGCAGCCCTCTCTCAATTCCACAGTAATTCACTAATAGTACAGTAGATGTCACTAACTATCAAGGAAATAATTTAGGTGAATATAGGTTGATTGTGTACAGAACTAGGGCTAACACAAGCATTAGATTAAAACTGTTTATATCATTATTATCTACATAACACCAGAAGCTTAGACAAGCTTAGCATTATAGACTTCTCATCTTCAAACAGCTCTGACAGTCAATCAGTTCTTGCACTGCTCTCATGTGAGGCAAAAAAGAGCTGTTTGTAAGCATTTTAACTATTCTTTCCAGAGTAGGTCAGAAGTGTGATGTCAAAATTATCCTCTTACATATCATGAATGCATTTGAAAATTCTACATCTCAATTTATATCACCTAGCTGTGAAAATACATCAATTAAAAAAAGGCAGCACTCCTCATAGTATTGATGAGAATTTAAGACCTTGAATACAGAATTCATATTACTGCTCAGAAACAGTCACATGGTGCAGTTGTTTTACATGTACATTATATTAAAATATGACAAAGGTCATTTGCATGCATTCTCCCATTAGCATGAAAACTAATTAATATTTGCTTAGATCTGAACACTAAAAAGCTCCAATTTCATGATGGATTTACCTTTGTTTTTTCAAAATTGGCCTCTTCTGCCATTTGCACAGCATGTTCAACTTGCTTACAAGCATTAGATGCTCTTTGCTGCATCTCTTTTATGCTTTGTCTCACTGAAACAAGTGCATCCATCAAGTCATCTCTTTCTCTGCATATTAAAAAAAAAAAAAACAACCCAGATACTTCTATTTCTTTTTCTAAGAGAAAAAAGCCCAAACAACAATTATACCAAATATAAAATACATACAGATGAAAGGCTTAAGCAAAGTGGTAAGCAAAGCAAGACTAAAACTCACGAGTGAAAGACAGCATACTGCAAGCTTGGCAGATACTGAAAATATCATTTACTTGACAACCAGTCCTTCATTTTAGAAGAATGGACCATTAGAGAAACTGGCAGTAAAGACAGCAGATCTCAAGTCATTAATGCACAGAAGCTGAGCACATTCTGTTGACATAACAATCATTAAGTATATCAAATGACAATTTTAAAATTCATTTGCTGCTAACTGGAACTAAGCCAAACAATAGGACACCTGGATTCTACAACTCTTTATTAAGACACTAAAATCTGTGCTAAATGGTAAAGCAGAGTTGGTAAAACTGTAATACTTAACTTCACCTTTTCATTATTGTCATATGTTAAAAGCTTTTAAATTAAGTTTTATCTGTTGCCTGTGGTTTAGGTGCAGCTCAAGATTCTGTCTGAAACTGTTGTGTTCTTAATGTTGTAAAACGGTAACATTTTTTTTATTTGCCAGAGACCTAGCAATCATACTTTGAAATTTCATTTGATTTTTGAATTGGATAAAGTCCTTTGAAAATTCCTACTGAAATACCCTTGTTTTTAATAAACTTCACCACAAGCAGAGGTAGCTTTTAGATTTTTTTAAACCTTCAAATGAAAAAATGGTTTAAGATAAATAAAGACATCAATTAGAATTTTTATTTCAAGCTCACCATAATATAAGAGGACAAGAACATACTGATTTACAGTTTGCTCGTATTTTCCAACATCTGTGACAAAGAATTACTTTTGTTACAACAGCAGATTTTGAAACATGACTTCTCAGCAATAGATCTTAGCCAGAAAATTTTTGGACTTTGTAATAGGAAAAAATACATAAATCCTGGCAATAACCACCCAGTGCAGAGGGACAGCACCCACTTGACTGAGTTCATATATGTTCTATGCCCCCTCAGTCTCCCTGCTTCTAATTGACCCACTATTCCATCTCAGGCTCATTCTAATACTTCAAAAATTCTAAGAAGCTTCAGATATCTGACAATAAATGATGGCTGTTTAAAAAATGTTGATAAAGTTGCAGTATCCTATCATTATTACTACCACGTAGAAAGGGAGAGTTTTTTTGAAGATGAATTGACTGGCAGAATTCCTTAAAAAAAATAATTTAATGTTGGGATCTCTGAATTACATATATCCAGCCTATATAGCTGTGATTTTTAAAAAAAATTAAATTAAAGCTATAATTTTTCAAAAAAGGGTGCAACAAATAGATTCATTTGTTTTTGTCCAATGGAACTTGTTTTCTCTGTCTTATTGTAGTCAGGGAGGATCTGCTACAGGTGTTTGGGGTAGCAAATTCATCCTACCCCAAGCACACGACCTATTGTTGATGTATCTAAAAAGTTCCTCAGAGGTAAAGAGAATAAAGTGGAGCCAGAAAAACTTCCAAGAACATAATTATAATGAACTTTTGCAAGAAATAATCAAAATGCATGGACTTGCACAATATTTGTGCAAGTGTGAAGGACTTGTTTGTATAAAAAGTACAGGAAACAGACTGTAAATTGTCTCATTATCTGGTCAGCCCAAGGTATCATAACTACACTCTAACAACTAAAACTCTTTCCCACTTGAAATAAGTAGCAAAGCTATTGTGGATTTTGAAGTGGTTGGGATCTACATTCACTGATTTCAGCATTATGACTCCAGCTTGGGAGTGCATTGTTCCATAAATGCACATCTCTTCTATGAATGTAACCCAAGACACTGAGACTTAAAAGGTTTAATGCAAGCAGCCAGACTTCCAACACAAATACACCGCCCCACTACCCACCTTGTCAGCCTCTCGATGGTCTGCACGTGGACATTACAGTGGGTCTGTGCAAGAATGGCCTCGTGCTGGGCACAGTTCAGGCACAGACCACCAACCTGGCTAGAATTTCTGGCTGCAAACAGTGACTTTTGGTGTTTCAGCCTTCCTTCCAAATCTTTGCATGTCTTCTGAGATTCTGAAAGGTCTTTTCTAGAAAGAAGAAATTTGTGAAATTAGATATTTCTACAAGTCATATTCATATACAATATATAAATACAAATGTAACCTAAAAAGAACTGTAAGAATCCCTGTAATTAACATTATTTTACACATTTTCAATAGGCTAAGGAAGACTTTAACACAGAAATAACAGTTGAACTGCCCAATCAAAATTATTAATAGACAAAACAATACTGTGTTAATTTGTTTCTTGCCCCATATTCTCAGACAATATTGAAGTTAAACAAAGTTATTAGACAAAGAACCTGTAGGCTTACATTTTGAATGAACAGAGTATAATATTCATTATTTTAAAAAATCAGCTGTATAAATATTTCAATACTCTAACAATTTTCTGTTGATTTTATTAATAACATCACTAACTTCATATTTATTCTCTACTCCCTAGACAAGAATCAGCACATTCACTCAGATCCAGCAATATACACAACCTGAGGTCAAACACATGTGCAGAAAAACAGGCTAAGTTTTTTACTTGTCTTCAAAATTTTTACCAGGTGCTCTGAAGACTTTTCCCCAGAATTTCCAAGCATGTGTCAGGCTGGGGAGATCGCAAGCAATAGGAATGTTAACATCAGGAAGTTCCAGACAAACGCACGCTGTGCACATATAGATCAATTTGACAAATTGTGCAATGAATCCAAAGCTTTGGGTTTGTTATGCAGGCCATCTGGGCAGCACACACTCAGGAAGTCTGACACATTCTGGTTGCATCGGATTTACTGTGCACATGATATATACACTGCGTGCATTCTTATTTCCATCTGGAAAATCTTCTGTGCACTTTTTCCAATTTTAGTACTTGGTCTATTACATATAACCCACTAGAACCTGAACAGAATTTGCTCTGCGTATATCCTTAGACAGTCGTGGCGCAACAAACCTATTGTTGGACAGTTTTGGACAGAAATCAGCAAGTCCTGTGTACATTCATCCTTCAAGTTAAAAGGGAAGATAGTCCCACAGAAAGCCATGTAATTTTTCACTTCAATAAGACTTAGTTTTGCAGAACTTCCTGTTTGCAAGATCATGCCTCTTAGGAGAAATCAGAGGCTGAATAATGTACTTGAGGAACTTCTGAGAACCCCCAACAATTATTTTTGGGTAAATAGAACACTTGAGGCCAAGGGAAAAAAAAATTGGATTATACAGCTGAAATTGAAGATCCTCCTTTACCTTCAATAAGACAACTGGCTTTGCATGTTACAGGTTTCACCAATGCAGAAAGCATTCTTTTAACTTGTCTCCCTACCAACAACTCTTTTTACACAGAGAACAGTCTAGCATTTTCAAATATTTGAAACCACAATTTATTTAGGGAAAAGCATAATTAAACAGTAGTAGAAAGTAGTTAATTATGGAAGCTGTCACACAAGTTACAATTGTAATTTCTCTTTTTTCCTTGAGTGGTCTACCTTATGTGGCCTTTCTTAGGGGAAAGAGGGTAAAAAAAGAGAAGATGTTTTATATATTGCTACTGTTTCTGTAAAATAGCAGTGCATTCAATTTTGCTACATCTATATTTGAAAAAACTTAATAGAAAACCAGTTTTCAGGGACACTATTAGAAGATACAACATTCAGGCATTCTCTTATTTAAAGTCAGATTAAGAGTGGTTCATTCTGTTATGCAGTGACAATTTATTCAGGATTATTTAAAGAAAAAAAATTCACTTTACCTTAGAGACTGTATTTGAGCATCAAGGATATTGACTTTTTCTTGATAAAGAAGTTTTAGATTCTCCTTTAAAAAAGATGGAAGAAGATATGTCTTGCTTTCTTCATAACAGTCTTTACAAACAAATCTAGACTTTACCCACATTCTTTTTCCCTGAGGACATAAACCTGTTGAAATACTAGCGGCAGAGAAACCTAAATATTTCAATTTTCTGGAAGTCTAAAAAGTGAACAGCCCTCCTATTTTTTGTTTCTAAATACAGTTTTTTGCCAGATCCTCATATGGTAAATTGTTTCAATTCCAACTGCATTCCTCAGCTTTCTACAATGATTCACAGAAACTGATAATCACATCTCGAGTTTGCTCTTGCTCTCCCACAAGTCAGCAGATATTAATACCTAATTATTAAGAACTTCAAGTACACAGGCTATTTATTTATAATACAGGGAGTTCCTCTTCATATACATGGTGAAGAAGTAGGTATATGAATCAACCTCACCCATGTTAAATACAATGGTGATACAAACCAGATAAAGCACTACAAATTTAGCTCACTATGACACTTAGAATGAAGTTACAATCAGCATGATTTTCCTGATTTAAATGTGGCAGACGAAGAAAAAAGCAATTACTGTAAAAAACTGCTTCCAAACAACTGCAGGCATCAGCGATCACTGAGGTCTTCAACTCTAAAATCATAGTACAAAAAACGCCAAAACTATATATTTCTACGAAAAAATCCTCAAATCCCATATAATTAAATAATTGAAGTACTGTATAAATTCCACAGTACACAAATGCACATGGACAAAATATATCAAAGCTTTTAATTAGCCAAGTTTTTTCCCAAAAGACAGCAAAACTATCCCACTATTTCAGAGCAAAAAGAAAATTAATATCCTCTGAAACTAAAAATACAGGAGGAGGCAACATCATCTCTAAATTACTAGGACTCCTCTGTATCTCTAAAAGCACAAGGTGTGTAATTCATCTAAGGGAAAGCAGATTGCACAAAACTACTTTTGTACCTTCCTGAGCCTGTACTGCTCCAGGAGCAGAACGACTCATTAGGAAAAGAGCTTGTGTAGAGGGCCACATAAATTACACCAGCTAGCTCCCACCTGCTTGGGTGCTGTGTTACTCCTAAGAATCTCCAAAGTACAGTGAAGCCATCATCTTTAAACAGGAACTATCTCTGGGAAGTCATCATCTGCAGAACTGCAGACAACCTGCCATCTGTGTCTAGCTGCACAATAATATTAATTAGGGTATAATGAGAAGATGAGGTTTAAGAGAATAAAATTTGAGCTCAGATTAAGGTTCGGTTAACTAAAACTTCTCCTGTGTCTGTTAAAAGCTAATCACAACTGGAACAACAACACTGAACAGTTTTGCAAAGGTAGGACTCTGTGAAGAAAGGTAATACCAACCAGTTCTACAGGCCACGTGGCTTTGTCTCCAGAAGCTGCTGCAACAAAAGCCTGATCTTTGTTGTGCACCAGTGAGGGGGTGACAGGCTGATGTGTGCTACAGTCTTTACCACCTACCAGCCAGGATCTCTGAGTATTTGCCTAAAATGAAAGTATTAATGCTTCAGTTATGATTATGCAGGCTGGATTTTTTTAAACAAATTTACTTAAGTATTGAATCTTATAATCTTCAGTAGAATATAAGAACCAATAAACAAGTTAATTAGGTTAGCAACTTACAATAATGATGTTACCCAAGGAAATCCACATTTACAAATTCTCAGTAAACTTTGACTAAAATTCTGTTTGCAGACAACCATTTGTATACCCTTCCATAAAAATAATCTGGCCAGATCCTTGAGAACTGATTAAAGCAACAAAAAATAAAAACTTACTGAGGCATCAAGAAGAGTTTGTTCTCTCAACATGTATTCTGCAGTTAAGAATTTCAGCTTCTGATTAAGTTCCTCATTTTCAAGTAAAATTGCCTGTTCTTGATCTTTCACCCCACACAACTCCTCCTATAGGATGAAGGAATTGCATTTAAAAGGTTCCTTAAGATGGCTATCAATATTGAAATCTATCTTGAGACCAAGAGTCTAGACTATCATTTTCAAATATTTTAACCCTTTTAGAGAGACTAAGAATTCACAAAGGAGAGATTTTGTATTTTTGCAGCTTAAATTACTATAAATCTTCTTTAAAAAAATGCTTATTTGTATTTGTCACAGGATGTAAAAATGTCTTTAAAGACCCTTAAATACTAGATACCAGGACACAAGGTAAGGGATCTACTCAACTGATTTGGCTCAGTTTTGGTCATTACAGCAATCAATCTCAAATCTAAATGTAAGCTGCTTTTAATGCAGTTCCCCACATTTGGGGGACCAGGGTTTTAGTAGGTCAAATAAGTTGTCTGATACCTTGTAAAACTTCACTTCTGTTTCCAAATGTTTAATGTATTGTGACTGATCGGTGATTATAGGAACAAGATCGAAAAGGGCTGGTAAGTCTTCAGGCACAGCTTCTGGGGGCTTCTGGAGGAAGTAAAAACAACATATGTTATGTTCTGATTTTCCATTATTGCTGTAAGATCTTGGTTGCACACAGAACAAACCTACAGTTTAAATGCACACAGAGTTGTTAATGGAGTTGTCTCCATTAACACTAGTTCACACTTCTGAAGGAACAAAAGTATTTTTATGCATATCCCTATTTTTGAAACTCACACAATTCTAACACCTATGATTTTGCGTCACAAACATGCCTTTTTGTGCAAAAATATTCCATTATATATTTACTAAATATAATTCAAGTCTAAAAGAGATCAAAGATTCAGAAACCTACATCCTTGTTTTTGAACATTACTTTTGAAATATTCACCATTCAAAAAAAAAAACAAAAACAACCAACCACAAAACCCTAACCAAACCTGAACAGAAACCCCCAGAAAACAAAATTTAAAAAAAATCAAACCAAGCTACTAATGGCTTTAACATCTACTAGTTATCTTATCTACAGGTTCTACCAACAATGCATTAAAATTCCTTGTCCAATCCTTAGAAGGTATAATCCTTAAATTAGGATGAGATGAAAGTTTCTAGCAAGAAAAACCTTACAGTCCAATTATGCCAAATATTAGTATTGACTGTTTTAAAGAGGGGGACACTCTTGAGATATCTGGAACCAGGACTGCAAAGACAAACGGAGGATATCCAGAACTATCTGAAGAAACATCTTTTTAGAGAAGGAATTCCAAATTTGCCACATATTCTGCCTAGCTCAGTAGACATATGCCCCATGTTCTATTGACTCAGAATTCATCTTGATTTAAATTCTTACTCCTAACTACTTTAGAAATTAAGCCAAAAAAAGGAACCACACTTAAAGTATAAAGTATATATAATATAGCCTTGATAATATTTGTAAGTCGTCTGTTTCTCTGGCTCCTATTCATCCGTCCCTCTTCTCTGAAAACGTAATGAACACATTGCAGCTGAGACCTCCAGCTGCCTCCCTGACAAGATTACACCACAGCAGTGTTAGAAAATTTTAGTGTGGGAAAACTCTGTTTCTATTCAATTTATTTTTCACTGAAAAACAGTTCTAATGTTTAAACTGAGAAACATCATTGTAATGTAAACAATAGTGCTAATGAATTTTTTACTAAAAAGAAAATAACAGGTAGCATATTTTCTCAACACAAAAAGAACAGAGGACCTCTGTGACTTTTTTTAACCATTTTAACAACAAAAATGTTATAAATTAATTTGGGATTTTTAAATTAATGTTCTCACAATATAATGTATAACAGGGTGAAAGAACAGAGGTCAGGAGAGGCATGAATTTAAATCTATGACTAAATACTAAAATCAGAACTGAAAGACACATCTGATCAATATGAATTACCAAACAATTATGCCTGAGTCTTGGAAACACTCTTCACATTAAAATACTTAATATTGAAAGGGATTCATAAAATATAAATGCTTAGCAGCTCTAAAATCAGCATTCAACATGGTGACAAACAGTTTTGCCAACATCACAAATAATTTGGCCCACCTTGTACTTTTCCAGAATGTCTCAAATCTCAAGCATCTAAACCACAGAATCAGAGAAACTCTGCCACTGTATAAACTGGCAGGAGACAAGAGGAATCCATCACATATAAGAGTGTCAGGAACAGAGGCTGGGTGCAGCTAGGTTAGCCAAAACCCAGCTTGCAGAACTGCAGTTGTTATGTGAAGCAATCTTGCTGGGCCTTGACCTCAGGTGATGAAGTGTATAGCAAAGGAAAATTTCTGCCCAACCACCTGGGTGTAATCAAAGAAATGATTTAATAATTTGATGTCTATTGCAACTTTAATCTATGGGAAAGAAAAGGGAATTTTGTTGCAACAATATTATTTATATGTATGAAGTGTAGTAAAGATTACTAAAGTGTATAGTTTTTGTGAAATGTTACATTTAGCTATATATCCTGCAGTCATTTACTATTCAGCAGTCATCAGGTATTTCAGCATCACTCAAAGCAAAAGGTTAAGGTTACTAATAATCTAAGTTTGCTTTCCTTGACCTTTTGGAAATTGGATTCTTCTTACACAAGAAGTGTTTCTGCAGTGTCCAGTAAATCACCAGACAGGCTCATATTTTATGAGGGCTTGGGCTTATTTTTGGTGTGTGTGCACTTTTGCAGTTCAGCATTTTTTTTAGCTTTACACGTGGTCTGCCTTCAGAACACTTTCATATCCTCAAGCAGATGGAGGACAGCTGCAAAGGACAGTAAAGCCACACTTCACAGCATATCTCTCACTGGAAACTGCAAGAGGAAGAAATGGGGCCATGCTGTACCAATACAGTAAATTCCCATTTTTTTCTCTGTTTATTCCTCCATCCTTTGATCCGCTCCCTGAAAGCACTATACCAAGTTTCTTAGATAAAAGTAATCAATTTTCTAAATTCTCCACTCTACTAAAACTTCCCAATATAAGTAGAAAACTTCACCAAAGATGGAATAAAAGACTCTTTCTCTTCCTTCCAAGGCTAAATACAAACTGATACTGATTCATGTCATGCCAAAGTCATCCAATGGTCCATCAAGCCCTTGAGCTACAAAACACTAACTCTTTCCTATGCCATTATGAGGCACAATACCAGGCAGGACAACCATACTAAACTTGTTGGCCTTAGAACACTTAAAAAAGTTAACTTTAAATAAAATTCCTTAACGTCAGGACAGCAGAGCTATGCTCATTATACAAGCTGAAAGCAACACAGCAGGAATACAGATTTTAGATTATTCTGCTGTTAACTTTGACAGCAAAGAGCTGCTTGTCTTGCTTAGTATAAAGCAAAAATATTCAGTGTAGGCCATCAAAAGATAAAACTGCAACAGCGCCTTTGAATTATTTTTCTGTGGAGATTCTAGCAACTCTCAGCTGCTCTGTAACTGAATGGTGTATCACACGTACTGTGGTGCAGCTCTGCTTCCATGAAGCAGCATCTGAGAAGCCCTTGTAAGGGAGTAATCAAACTTTGACAGAGACCACTGCATTTAGGCAGAGAACTACAAAACCTGTTTTTGCATGAACATCTCTAACTCTTTCAAGAAAAAGCATAGTTAAAGCATAAGAAGGACACTGAAAATTCTTAAGGTACAGTCAAAGGGAAAAAGAGGCTGCTTTTTCAGAAATTTTTCCTTGTTTATCCCAAGCGTTTTCAAAACAAAAAGGATGGACAACCACACTACATGGTCAACAAAAAGAAGAGAAAAGTATAAACCTTGTATTATAGATTCCTTTTGCTTCCATTATGGTCATAAGGATACCAAGTTCTGGTCATAGCCTCAGGAAGCTCCCATATTTAAGGTTGTTAAAATGATTCAATGTTTCTTTTTTCTCTTTATACTATGAAATCAACATGCATGCTGTTTATTCAAACAACAAAAATGAAACCAGAAGAAACATACATGGAATGAATTCTTCCTTCTTGAGGGAGACTCTTCACTTTCCATTCTTTCTTGGTGTTGCAACAAAATTTTAAGTTGGTTAACTAGGAAGAGATAAAAACCATTATAATCAATATATAATTACATTTAAAATTGAAATTAGTGTAATTCCTAACAATGTTTAAACCATTTGCTTTCAGAGCAATCTTACCCGCATGACTGTGCTGCAGTTCCTGACTGGCTGCAGTCTCACAGTCATCATTGGCCGTGTCTGCATTGTCACTGCCCTCATCCACAGAGGACTGGTCAAATCCTGTGCCATCACCTTTTGCCAAGGCATGTTTCAGTTGAGAGATGCTTTCACTGGCACGTTCTAAAAAAAAAAAAAAAAAACAAAAAACCCAACCACATCATTACCCACAATAAACAACATAAATGTAAGGATTTACTGATTGATATTTCAAATGGGAAAAAACATGAGAGCTACAAGCATTCAGCATGTGTCTAGCTTGACTACTTGACCTAAACTCAGCCACTGGAAGCAATTATCTAATGCAAACAACCAAAAAAAAACCTACCATATTTGCAAAATATTTACTAAATGCTAATTTTTCAGAGAAGAGCTATACATAGCATCTTAGCCCCTCAATACATTAGGACACTGGAGCAGCACAAGTAATAATATACTTGACCCTAAAATATTTCCTAACATATGCACCTTCCATACTTTTCTATGAACCTAAAGCTCATGCTACAGTTTCTACAATATGCAGGATTGGAAACCAAGACAAATGTTTTTGCATTTTAGTGATGCCGCCACACATTATTACAATGCAACACGTCACACAATGAAACAAATACCTGAGTAAATGAAGTAATAACTCAGCAAACCAAGCCACCATAGAACAGTTATTTAATAAACATGAGTGATTTCTGAACAATGTGAAAAACAAACAACAACACACACTATTCTAGAAAAAAGACCAAACAAACACAGCAGAAAACCTCTATCCACATAAATACAAATATTTTCAAGAGCTGACTTGCTGACAGATGATACAATAAAGGTCTTATCTAATGTTCAATATAATTTTTCCTTATATTCCTTTCTTAATTTTTTATTTAATTCAGCTGACTTCACAAAAATAATAAGCATATTTTAACAGTGAAATTTTAGTAAAACAAACCCAAATACCATTTACAAGGCAATGACTCAGAAAAAGAAGGGTTTAGGTCAAATATTTCACTTTTGGCATACTTAGGCTCTTCATGCTTTCTTGAGCATTCCAGGATGCTATGAGGGCGGAAGAGCTAATTGAGAAATGGCAGAAGTATCTCACTGATGCAACGGCTTAGATATTTAGCAAACTATGTTGCAACCATTTGTTGCCAAGAAGTGTTCAATGTCATATAAATTGTCATGTGGTGTGCCTTAATCTGGTAGCATTGAAGTTCCTTCATTTCCCCATTCCCTGTAGTTGTCTGCCAGAGAACCCCAGAGTACCAGTATTTGCTCCCTAGCCAAGGGACAAACAACAAGCTAAACAAAACCAGAACCAACCAAGCCCATATATATTGGTTTTCCCAGAACTTCTCTCTGTGTGTAGTATTACAGCTTCTGAACTCCAAGCTATTACTTCATCCACAAAGATAACAGAGATCTTACACTCTGTCCTCTTTTCCCATAAACATACAGGCCAGTAGTAGTGAAACACATTAAAACCACTATCAATGGCACAATTATGCCAATTTTTTTTTTTTTTGACTACACTTTCCTGCCTCTGAAATAATGTCACCACATTCTGGAAAGCGTCAGCAAGTATCTGCTTAAATTTCTCAAAAGCTTGCCTATTTCCAAATTACTAATGTTGCTGTCATAGGCAAGACACTCTCCACTGGGAAACTGGGAATTAAGAGGTCCCAGTGGTGTGGCTTTACATTCACCAGATACAAGAGATCCAACACTTACTTCAGTAAGAGTTGAACTGGATGCTTAAAAGGGAATAAATACATTACAGTATTTTTTATTTCCAAAGTAAGGAACATAATTTTGGACATTAGGATAAAAGACAATATACCAAGGAGCGGAAAGACTACGTTTGTTGTTTCTTACAATGTTAAAACATTCTTTTTAAATATGAAAGAAATTTTAAAAAAACACTGTGGATGCAAACTACAGGACAACAAAAAAACATCTGCTGAAAGACAACATGATTAATTTTTTAATGAATTCAGAAGCAATTAATTTTTAAGTCTCCCCAGTTCAATCTGCTTCAGTTAAGACACTCCTGTAATAGTACATTTTATAGAAACACGGCCTCAGTGAAAAATACTGCAAAACCTGCTCACATGCAGCACTATGATTTGCATACCAAAATCAATCAGCACCTGTCTTTTCGCTGTCTTAACAAGACTCTACAAATAAAATCCAAACTCATATTCCTGTTCTATGCTAAAACATCATTGAAGTGCTATTTCCTATTGGAACAGCTGACGATATAATTGAATTTGGACTCATGTGGATTGAAACTTCAAAAAAACTCCTGACTTACTATTAAGCCCTCTGGTTTTCAGTGTTCAAAGGATCTGAGATGATTATGAAAAATGACCAGCTAGCACCCAAACCTGATGGATCAAACTCAATACATTAAAAAAAAAAAAAAATCAGTGTAGAAACAATTTGCCATTGAAGTCAAAACAGGAAAAAAAACCCAGAAGGCATTGAACCAGTTTAGCATTGCCTAAACAAGAGATGTTTCCTCAGGCCCTGCACAGAATTCTTTAAAAAGAGTACTCCTTTAAATGAAAGCACCAAAGCTACCTCATTCATGGACTCAGAAATGCCATAGAAAATAGTCCGGGAGCAAAAGAATCAATCATTCAAAACAACAGAATTGCCTGAAAGACATGGAAAATAACTTCAGCTGCTAGAATCATTAAGCAGCATAAATTGAAGAAAACAAACGGCAAGCCTATGAAAAAGTTGTTATAAGTCTGTCACCCAAACCTAACAGGCCGGTTCTAATAATGTCTACAAGAACATGAAGTTACTGGCTATAAATTCAACAAACAGCATCACTTGCTGATATTTCATGGTTCCCAATCAGCAAACAGCCTTAGAAAATTAGAGAAGGAATTACACTGATTCCTTAGGTCTTAAAAAACCCCAAAGCAAATAGCTGTAGAATTTTTGTGAAACAGTAACTAACAAAAGAGACAATTAGACACACTAGTGAAAGCAAAAAGACAATGGCCATTTAAAGAAAACTTTCCCGTCCAAAATTAGATGAACATTTGCTTCCACTGACAGCTAAAAATCTAAAATATTATACCATATATCTTTTCAGTCAAGTAACTACTGAAAAATATTGAAACTGAGAATGTGGTTATAGGGGTTTTTGTGTTTAGCACACCTTGGAACTTTAATTCCCATTCTGACATCCAGCTGTTCCTCTTTCTTGGCTGCCAAACACAGGTATGTTAGTGTGGAAGTAACACACTACATGGCAGTTTTGAGACTAAAAGTATCCTGTCTGTCACTACCTGAGCTGCTGAGGATTTTACATGCAGCAATGAGCAATACCAGGCCGTTCATTAGTCAAGCCTCAAAAAATCCCAAGGTGTGTGAAATGCTCAGATGTTCCAAAATAACAAATCCTTCTGATTTGGTTTCTTGCTCTCTTTTTATATGAGAAATGTGTACTTTTCAGCATAACTTTTACCAAACTATCATCTTTAAAAGTACAGCTGCAGCAGTCATTGTCACAAGTTCCTATACCAGCTCTTTCTGCAGAGCATAAAGCATTTGCCTAAATTCTAGAAACCCTCACATGTGAAAACCTCATTGCCAAGTTCCTCTTGGCAGATTCACCACCTTTAAAAGAACATGTTGTTTTCAGAAGAATACCTAGAAACACCTGCCAAACCAAAATAAAAAGCAAAAAAATCCCATTAAGAACGTAATTCTAAGCTGCTTCAGCATGACAGCTATCTTGTAGTGATGGAAACTGGGCCACATACTCACTTTTCCTAAGATGGCTTTGCCTTACCATCTCTCATGTTTTATTTTTGGAACCACATAAAACAGCCACAAAATGAAACTTTATTCGGAAAAGTCTTATCTTGTCATCTGTTTCTCTTAGGGTTTGCAACTCCCTTCTCTGAAATTATGTAGGACACTGCACTCAGCAATGCAGTGGAATACAGAATGTCATTTCCACAATATCCTAAGACAGACTTGAGGTAGACAAGTGTATCAGGCTCAGTACCTAAAAAGGGTGGTTTGCCCCTCCTTTTCTCTTGCTCTTATACTGTCCCAGGTCCAACAGTGAGCCAGCGCTCTTTACTCAAGAGGCAGAAAACTCAACACAAAAAATATAAGCTAATAGTTCTCTGTTCAAGAAACCAGAAATATGCTAGAAACAAAGAACTGGACTCTAAATAGTCTTCTCAATTTACTGCTGTTAGGAGAAAAGGGGAAAGTCACAGAAAGGCATCACACTCTCCTCTCAGCAGTGGTGTAGCAGAAGGCCCATTGGACATTCACATTATGCCTGTCAATTTTCAGTTATTAATATGCATATAGCAGCTCACCACTCATTCTCATTTACAAAATACCTCTACTCCCTTGAGAAGAACCTTTTATTAGATATACTATCTCCTAAAGTTTTTAAGGTTCATTTGAAATGGTCTCAATTATATGAAAGTTCATGCAGTAACCTAATAACCCCAACTGTACAAATACCACCCTCTTAACCTAGTACTACACATAGCATTAAAGACTTCCATTATACAGGGTCAGGAAAAGCTACATTATAGAACCTTTGTTATTTATCAAAGCCTCTCTGTTGAGCTGTAAGACCAGTTAGGTCTTCATCAGGTTTTTTTGGTCCAGCTTTGTGCCCTCTGGCCACCAGGCTCAGTTTACTGAACACTCAGGCTCCCTGTCTTCTGAGGGATTTCCCTTTGCAACAAAGGACACTGCCCAGAAATAATCAGTTGCTCTTTGAGAACTTAAGAACCTTTCCATCAAGCTGAGTAAGGCTGTAAAGTGATTCTTCTGCTGTCCAGCATGGGTGGTGAGAACCTGTTGCCATGAGCTCGGCCTGCATCCAGATAATGTCAAGCATTACAGGCAGGTTATGAATGCTGTATTTCAAATACCTCAAATAATGCCCAAAGCACGCCACCTAAAATTGCTGAACCCGAATGACAAGGTCATCCCAATGGGAAGAAAAATCTCAAGCTGTATAACTATATAAGAAAAATATTTGACAACTTTGAGAGTAATGATAACCTGTTTGTCCTACGGTGAATTCCTAACACTGGTAGTAATGATGTGGAAAATGCCGTATAACTCAAAGGAGTTAAAAATTGTACGTCACTGAGAAATAAAGAGGTTCTTTTGAGAAACACAACAGAACTTATGTTATATTGCCCTGTATTGGGGCTGTTTGTGCATGACCATATTGATTTCTACATGAGAAGCACCCCCAGATGTATGAAATCAAAATTACCTTGGCATTGCATGAAAAGAAAATTCTTGTTTCCAAGAATGTAAAGGGGAAAGGCTCACCAGAAATTCAGGATATGAAATAATTTTGCAAATATAACAGATCCAGTGTAAGGAGATCCAGTCAGAAAAAGATAAAATGAAAATAAGTTTTATGAAGAGAATACATGCATCCAATGTATCCATTAGAAATGGTCAGCTCTAACAGTCACACAGTTAAACAGCCCGGATATTTGTTATCCCAACTGCTCTGCAATAACTGTTAACTGCAAGTGTCAAGTAGCATTACCATGCTCATTTCATCTACAGGAAAAGTAAATAGAAATGATTCCTCAAAGCTCTATCTTGTGGAACAAAAGAAAGCTATCGCTAATGTAAGGAACTGATGCTCCTTTGAGAAGAAGTAAAAAAACATTTGCTGAGAATCAAGTATCAAGTAGCTATTTGAAAATGTTTCCATTGTTTTATCCTTGTTTCTCTCTTCTTTTTGGCAATGTTGTTTCCTATGGCACAGGAAACATCCCAACAGGCCATGTGGGGATGCTGTACACAGAACACAACTTTTCGCACCAGTAGGTTCGCATACCCACAAACTATCTACTGGCTTTCTTCAGAATTCGGACATTTACTTCGCCCAGCCAGTGACAGTCTGAAGGCTGGTAAGCCCAGGCTGACAGACTCGGCTGCTCTCTGTCGGGCTATACACCACGCTTCTTGGACAAAGCGGCAGCTATGAACACGCTGGGTGAGAGGGGAAACAACCACTCTCATTAGAGCCCATTTGTACCCTCATCTTTACCATGACTAGAATCCGTTCTTCAAGGATGGCCAAAACCGCGCCCGAAGCAGCAGCGGTGCCGGCCGAGCCGAGTCACGGTGAGACCAGCGCGTGTCACAGCAAGCACGGCGCCTGCGATCGGCTGTGGGCGCAACTTCCCTGCGGCGCGCCCGTCCCAGCCCGGCCGGGGCGCTCCGCGGGGCGGGGGCAGCCGCAGACCCGGTTGGCGGCTGGGGCGGCCCGCCCTCACCCCGCGCCCGTACCGCTCACCTCGGAGGCGCCTCTGGTACCGCTCCAGGGACTCCTCCAGGGCGCGCTCCCCGCGGGGCGCCCGCATCAGGGCGCCGCTGGCTGCCGGCGAGCAGCCGGCGCTGTCCCCCGGCAACGGGGGCTCCCCGCGGCGAGGCTGGGGGACAGTGGTTCCGCCCGTTCTACCTTCCCGCGCTGGGCTCTCGGAGGAGCCACCTGCGGGGATCCCTCCGGCTCCTGGTGGCCGACCGTTGCCGTCGGCCGCCGCAGCTGAGACTAGCAACGCCAGGAATCCCTCGCGCTTCCCGACGGCGGGAATGTCGCCGCCAGGACTACAAGTCCCGGCATGCACCGCGCCGCCGGAGGCAGAGTCCCCTCCCACCGCCCACCCCCGGCAACCGGGAAAGGGTGGTCGCCGCAACTCATCTCCCCTTTGTTGTGGATCGCAGCCGCAGTCGCGCCTGCGCACAGCACAGCCCGTCCGCCTACGCCCTCGGGCCTGCAGCGGGCTCAGCGGCGGTCCTGCCACGGCCGGGGCGGATCGGGGCGGGAAGCACCGTTTACCTCCCGCCATCGCCCGCGCGGGGAGCGCCCGCAGCCCGGGGAACGCTATTGTCTGCGGGCGGCGCAGGCGCAGCGCGGCCCCGCCGCCGCTGGGCCCCGGCGCGTGCGCAGTGCGGCGCGGTGCCGCGGTGCCGTTAGCCGCCGCTATGTGCAGGGAATAACGCCGGGGCCGTTGCCACAGGGACACCGAGCGCTCCGCCCTCGCTCCGCATCCCGCGGGATGCCGGCTCGCTGAGCACCCGCTAGCGACGGCCCCTCCCCGGCGCGCGAGCCTCCTCGGAGGGGTGAGTGAGGACGATGCTGCCGCCGCCGCCCTGGGCTGCGGGTCGGGCGGGAGCCGTGGCGGGGAGCGGGGCCGCGGTCCGCCCGGTGCCTATTGTGTCAGGAGGTACCCGCCCGCCGGGACCCGGGCGGGCTGCGGCCGGCGGAGGGGGAGGCAGCACGGTCTGGGCACAGCCCGCTCCCCCTCCCCCGTCGGGCCCGTAGCTTACTCCGCGCCCCCGCCTCCCTTTCCCCTCGTCGGCGCGGGGCGATCGCCGCTGCCAGGGGGCATCGCCTCAGGCGGGACGCGGACGGCATCCCGCAGCTGGCATTCGGTGCTGCTGGATCCCGCTGCCCGCGTCTCCCTGCCCCTTTCCGCCCGCGGGGCGCCCCGGCACACCCACCCAGCCAGCCAGCCAGCCCCGGGGCTGCGCAGCCTCCCCTGCCGCGGGCGGATTTCCGCGGTTCCAGCGGAGACGCTTCCAGAGGTTTAATTTTTTTTTTTGGGTGACCTTCTTTCACTGGCTGCCCCGAGGCTGGAGGCAGCGTGTTTCTCCGGATGTAAAAATCAGTGACGCCCTTCGTCTGGGATGCGGCGTTTCCCCCATCCTAAAATAATATCTTCTGTGAAAGGGTGATGGAGAAAATCTGCGGGTTTCGCCTTTTCTCGTATTGCGTATTTCCACCCGAGGAGTCAGGTCCCCTGCTTCCGAAAATATCCTCCCGAAGGCGTGAGCTTTTCCTTTTTCGAGGCGCTTCCAGGGAAAAACATGAAATCAGGGTTTTTGTCCCCCGAGGAGCAGCCCGGGCCCACTTTGTGTGCCCGCCGTGGGGACGAACGGGTTACTGCGCTAACAAAAACCCGATGGCGATTTTCGAGCAGAAAGCGGCGTCGGAGGAAGCGGGCGGGAGGGGCGGGGCGGGGGCGCTCCCCGGGCCCCCGGCGCCCTGCGAGCCCGGAGCCGGGAGGGCACGGCTGAGCGCTGCCTGCCAGCGCTGGCGGCCGTGTTCTGAGCGCTTTTTCGGCATCAGCCGACAATTAGCCCATCAATGCTCGCGGCTTGATGGGGGAAAAAAAAAAAAAAGATGTAGATGGTATGCTGATGTGTTGTGTATACATAAAGATTGCGTTATTGTGACAAGAGATTACATAGCATCCACTGATCTGCACTTGGAGGAAATTATTTTCTTCTCTGTGAAAGCAAAGGTACTCATAAAATATTTAAGTACTTTGAAAGAATAAAGCCTGTTCTAGCACTGCGATGATCATCTTTTCTCCTTTGGAATGCCATTCAAGGCTTTGTGACAGCGTTCTTGGCCCTGGGCTTGCATCTGCAAAATGATATGTGGGATGGGACAGTTTTTGTAAACTGAACAGAGACATGATTACATATGCTGTGATTTCCTATGATTAATTTCCTCTGGGAATTACTTTCTGTCCAGATGCTGAGAAGTCTGTCTTGCTAAACTCTACTGATATAGGAGCTCTTCAGCTTTCCATTTTATTTAACGGGGAAAAAGTTAAACATAAGCACTGCAAAGAATCTCCCTTCGCTCTTTGATTGTCACTTTTAAAAATACTTTTTCACCTTCATGTAAATGTTCTTGTTGGGTTTTTTTTTCCCCTTTGTCTGATGGAGGTTTGGAAGGCTGACTGAATAGAGAGTAGTGCAGCTGGGGATACAAGGAATTTTGTCAAAATCTCAAGAATCTTGAAGTTACTTGGAATGGATCAGATTAAAATGCTTTCTTAAATTCTTTTGAAGAGAAACCTTCTGGCTTATAAGTTGTTACCAAACTTTGGCATGACAGTGCATTGTTTGGGGAGTGGTTTTGACATATGATTATTGCCCATGTCTAATCTGACTTTTGAAAAAAACAATGGGTTATTTCTGTCTTGAGTTTCATCTGCTGTAATGGACTTGACAAGCAAAATTTCTTTAAAATTCTATTGATAACATACAACCCAGAAAAGCTCCAGGTTATGAAAATGAACTGCAAAAGTCTATGTTCAGTTGTAGGTGAGAGCTTGGAAACTTCCTCAAATGCCTGGAATGAAACCCAAGGCATGAGAAGTTACAGAAATGTATTTTGCAATACCATTTCCAGTTCTTGGCATTGCAGGGAGAAGGTATTTAATGTATATTGATACCATAGTATCTCCTTGACTCTCCTAACAGGACAGTTTCCATGTTAGCACTGCTTTTCTTAGCTTTGCAGGCAGAATGGAACAGAGATGCAACAGATTGTTTTTACTTTAGCTAGAAAGCAAAGAACAGCTGTGAAATTCTGGTTTTCCTTTAGAAAAAATCTGAACTGAGGCATCAGATATGGAATACATGCATATAGTAGGTTTTCTACAAGTAAATTCTCTCTGCTTCTAGCACTTGTGAGATTGTAAAAGAACACAGTAGCACTTCCCCCTGTTTGAAGAATATGCACAATGTAGTAAAAATTGATTCTGTTGTGACCAAGAGACTGCAAATTGAGAAAAGGAAGTTGTTAGTGACCGATGGGGCTTCAAGTCTGCTAGCTGGGAGCTGGTGTTAGATGTGTGTATCTCCTCTAAGGTGCACATCTTCACTGTGCTGATTGAGCCTGTGGGGGCCTTTCATTGTCTCTTAGGTTTGTAATGCTCTCACCAAAGGCCTGCGTGCCTTCCGTTCTGGTATTGATCCTTGTGTGTATCCATGCATTTTCAAGGGACTGGTCTCCTTCAATGCTCAGTGCTAATGTTTCCCTGGATTACAGTCCAGCTAGCATGTTGAATGGGACAGGTATCGTGGGGAAAGTAGTATGTGATTAGGTGACTTAAACTGTAACAGAATGCATGTAAATAAGGGTGGGAAGAGAGTTGTTTAAACGACTTCATATGTGTCGGTTGTACAGTTATACATTCATTGAAATATTAAAAAAATACTAAAATAAATTGCAAATGCCTAAATCTGTATTGTAGTTTAGTTTCTCTGACTCTACCACCAAAAAGCTGGGAGGCTTTATTCTGGAAGGTTTTTATTCTACAAATGCATTTGTGAGTAGAATGATCTATTTAATTAAAATTGTGTTTGACCTTCAAAAAAACACTTATATTTTAAATTAGTATGTATCATTTTTTATCATATGTCAAAACCAGCTTGTCCTAGAAGTATCAAATAAAAGCCACAATTATATTTTAGTAGATTGCTGATGGAATTAGATTTCAGGTGGGGAGACCTGTGTTTGGGAATGTACTCAGTGCTGCAGCACTGAAATTTAAGTGTGTCCTGCCAGCTCTTAGATTATGGGGGAGAGGTAAGGGAGTGGGGTGGCTATTGAAGAGGCTGACTAGTGGTTCTCCTGTCTTAATGGCTCTGCATGGAGTATTCCCAGTTACTTCCTTCTCTTTGGGTTTGGTACAGCATGGCTGCACTGCTTTGTTGCAGTGACTCTGGTAGTTTACGAAGTACATGAGAAGTTAATTCACTCCACTAACCCGGGAGAACACTATTTCTTTTCTTTTTGTTTTGCTATTTTTTTCCCCCCTTCCTCCCTTGGATTAGCAAATTGAATTATCTTATTGTGTGGTCAGATGAGTGCCAGAGCAAGTACACAGAACAGGGTCAGCAGTGTCAAGCCAGGAAGAGGGGAATACTCATTTTTCCAGTAGCAAAGATACATTTCATCTACTTTACTGTCCTATATGGCTGTCCTCTGCACCACTGCAGGCTACTGCGGTCAGACAGGAGGTGGGCTATGTATTAATCCAAGAAAACAAAAAATTGAGGTACTGGGTTTGTTCTGTTAGTCTTTATTTGAGGTCCTTGATGTGTAAAATGTCCACAGCCACAGACTAAACATTAAGAACCTATCACTGGAAGAAAAAAAAAAAAAGTTCTCTGGAAAGTAAATGTTAAAAGAGGGAAGATGAGTAGCTCTGCTAAGCATTGTGGCCTTTGTACGAGGATAAGCAGGATTTTTGGTCCAGGTTAATGTTGGTATTTTCTCCTTTATGGAATTTAGGGTTCTAAATTTTTGAGTATTTTCATAGTTTTGTCTCTCCTATTTACTACTTTTGAAGTCTGTGGGTTTTGTGAATTGTAGGAAAGTTATAGTAGGTAGGGGTTTTGCGAAAGGGTGGGTTTTTAAATTCATAGTTTTTATTTTTATTCCTTGAATAGAATGTAATAAATTTTTTCACATGTGAGCCCAGCAAAGCCCAGCTTTATTTCTCCTTCTCTTTTTCTCCTCTGATAAACTGTTAGTGAAAAGATAGACTTCTCCTTAGCTAGGTGCTTGTCAGAGCTATGGTATCATCCACTGGTGGGTCTAGTGGGCTGACTCACATCCAAGAACTGCAAGCCTCTTTCTGTCTTGCTCCTTTGGTTGGTTTTGCTGCTTTTATTGCAAGGTTTGGTGTTCTTGTAGTAGAGTCCTCTGTTTACTTATTTCCATTCTTTTGACCTGAAATGTTTTATATTCTG